TAGACTAGTTAAGCCACAGTCATTGAATGTTTCAGAATGGATACTATCTGCAATTTCCCCAGAAATACAGAAATATCAAATACATTTTCATATTTTCTTTAACCTAGCTTTATAGGCCAATTGAGGAGTGACAATATATATGTATCTTAGATACCAAATATACATACAAACTGTGTCTAGATACAGATACAGTAATACCTCAACTTACGCAAACCCGGAGTTACACAACTTTCAAATCTCTTCGAATTGTCTTTAGTTTGAGTGCCACGCAACTCTTGATTACTCACTCCCCCCCACTATTGTTCAGCTTACATGTTCAAACGTGTCATGCGGAATCGACACATAGCTACAATTTATTTTGTGTTATTTATTTCTGTGTTTGTTATATCTACAGAGACTTGAGAGACTATGTGGTGATTTATTGTAACCATGAACAAATCAAAAGACGAGATAAGATTAACGAGAACATTTATTAGCTTACATACATCCGACTTGGATTTTACACAAATTGCGAAATTATATCCCGACTTACGCGAATTCGACTTACACGGTTATTGCTCGGTCCCACCTATCACGTAAGTTCGGGGTATTACTGTAAAAGTTAAATCCTAGAAAATACCTACATACAAAAACAAGATAATATTTAATATCTAGATACTCCCCAATGTAGCAAAATGAACAGTATTTAGTAAATATATAATAATGTATTTACTAAATACTTATTTATATTCCAGATATTTAAAACAGAGCTATTTTAAATATCTGGAATTTATATTGACAATAATCTGAATCAGAGCTATCGTATATATGATTGCTAAGAATAGGGTGTGACAGAAGAATGTGATAGTTTTCACAGAATTACTGTGCCACACTTGGATCATTTTAGAACAAAAGCATACAAAAGAAAAACAATAGTACAATACAATTTACTAATTATCACTTATTTCTTAAAAATAAGATTTGTCAAGTGGCCTCTACATTCTTGAAATCAGAACCAGAAATTGTCCATGACTCAATGCTTTAAAAGAGCTTCAATGGCTCAAATTTCACCAATGATGTTTTGCTTCAATGCCAAGAAGTTGTTTGGTTTGTTGACATAAACTGTAGATTTCAAATATCCCCATAGGATAAGACATGGATTATTGATTTGCATTCACTAAATTTTTTTCCAGAAAACATATGTTCAATCACTGACAAGTTTTCCATGTTGTTCAGAAACAGAGCCCTAATTGCATACTCCAGCAGTCATAAAACACAACACATTCCCCCACTATGCTCTACATGTACAGTACAGCAACATTTTGAAATCTCACATTCTCATGCCATATCCTGTATTTAGAAATCTTCAATCACATTAAATATTTCATAAATAGAAAAGGACTTAAAACATGTGTTAAGTTTAACTTGCTTTGTGGTATTGTAGTTCGGGGCTCCGCACCTAATAACAGTAGCCAAACTACAAAGATTACAGAATCAGTTTATGAGAATCCTTTTAAACAAAAAAGAAATATAAGACATCTGGCATCACTGCAGAGTCATGACTTTGATATAGAGCAATATTATACATATCTGGTATAATAAAAATTTATAGATATTTTCTGTAAGTATAATTTTGATATAAATCAAACAAAAATGTGCTTGTTTAAACCTTAAACATCACAAAGAATTGAAATACCCCACTAGATATCCTGAGAATAGAATAATTCTGAGGAACTGGTTAATAGTTGGTCAAAACTCTTAATTGATAAATCTATAAAACATTGAAATACATTTAGCCCAAAAAATAAAAAAATAAAAAATTATTAATGTAATTAATATTTTCTTTTAATTACATTAAAATTTTTAATATTAATATTCTATTGAACATATAACTATGATTTAACCACATCCTGCAGCATCAGCACAATAGATCAATCACACAAACTTTCCTAGTGGCACTAAACCTTTTTGAATTAGATTAATTTAAACTGAAGAACATGTTTCAATCATTTATATTACAATTGTTATTTCCTACTATACTGATAAGGGATTTTAGAATGAAAAAATAATATAATGTTACAAATTTATAGGACAGACTTCAGAATTATAGGAATATATAACATTATAGGGCATGTAAAAAATATAAGAAAAACAGGAAATATAAGACATCTGGCATCACTGCAGAGGTTCTTCAGATCTGGTAATCTTGGTGGCTTTGATATTGGAAATGGTTGGCTAAGCACTCCTACTTGAAATAAATGTTCCAGTAAGGCTTGCACATTTAAGCAGTTATATGGGGTGCACCATCTTGCATAAAAAAAAAATAAGCACCATTGATTGTAGAACTGCCAAATTTCAAAGAATGTTTTTTGACTTCATTTCTACCTAAATTCATTTAAAATATGTAATATATATATTAAGGAAACAACAGCACAAAATTTTACCCTGGTGGCTAAATTCTGAAGTATTTTTTTCGTGCAAATTGAAACCATATATATGTTACCGCTAAAGCTCAAAATCCGTTAATGTGCACATTACCTACCTAATCTGCACAATAAGTAGGGTGATCCGTTAAAGTTGCTAAAATTGTTCTATTTCTCAAATTACCTAGGTAATGTGCAGAGTATCTAGGTAATCTGCACATTACCTACTAGCCTCTCGGTAAAGTGAAAATAAGATTTTTGCTGGAACAATAGCAATGTTTCTGTATGCTTAAATTAACATAATGTTATTCATTTAATTTTCAATATCTAAAGAATCAAGTTAATACAATCAAACAATCAATAAATTAGTTAATTGAATCAATCATCAATCAATTAAAAAAAACTTTAATACAAAAATCAAACGGTTTAAAATATTACTACAATTAGGGAAATGAATTTGAAAACATATGATAAAATTGTACTTACTTATTAGTGCAATCTAAAGACACTTTGAATTACATAGCAATTGGTTTTTGCAACAAGAACTCCTATTTGTGGTACATTTAGATTTGCAGTCACATTTTCTGAAACCCTGCCTAGTACCAAGGGATTGTTTTATTGCTGTTTGACGTAAAGATATTTCTACAGCAGGGACATCCATCTTCTTTCGTTAAAAATCTCTCTTTGCAAACACTGAATTCAGATTTTGCATACAATTGTTTTAAAATACCTGTTTTAGTATCAAGTTTATAAAAGCCATCCTCTGTTTTACTAAGAACCACAGCTAAAATTGAACGTGC